GTGATGGATTTCCTACTGGCATGTAGGTGTGGAGAGGCTGGGATTAGAGGTGCAAAAGAAAAGTTAAGGTTGGCATCCTTCTTTAACGCTCCTGCCACAAACAGCCAAATTACTGTGCCATTGCCCTGAGTGACACAGGATAAGCCATTGTGAGGGGTGGTGGGATGGGATGTGAAATTGTGGCGATGGGCTGGTTAGCTGGTTAGCAAGTACTTTCCGTGCTGTGTTGTCTTTGGGCCAGTCCTGGACTGGAATCTTTTGCTGAGCCTTGGGCTCTGGGAATAGAGAGAGGGCTTCCCCAAGGCTTTGATTTTGGCAGCACAAACCACTTTCCTGTAGCTGCCTGATGGTCATGGATAAAAGCAGTTCCGCTTGCTTCCAGCCGATGCCCCTTGGGCTTGGTCCCGTCTTGTGCTGTGCAGAAGGGATCAGCTCCCACCCAGGGCTTGCAGTCCTGCACGATGCTGTGGATCCTCACGGCTGCCCCAGTACCACCATGTTCAGAACTTTTCTTCTATTTTGTAGGATGCCAAAAAGAAATACGACAAGGAGACAGAGAAGTATTGCGGTGTCCTAGAAAAGCACTTAAACTTGTCTTCTAAGAAGAAAGAATCCCAGCTTCAGGAGGTGAGAGCAGCCTCTGGTTTTCCATGTCTAGCAGTAACTGTGGTGAGCTTTTTTGAATGCTTTACACAGCTTATAGCATTGGTTTTCCTGGCTGTAAAATCAGAGAGATCCCAAAATGGATAGTAATCAAAAAGAAGAGAGAGTTTGTAATTAAAGAGTGCAACAGAAAGGAACTGGTTCTGCTGCCGGCTTCCCATGTGCCAGCACAAATCATGGATGTCTGGTTCCCTTCTCTGAAAGTCGCTGCACTGGCTTTGGGCTTCATGGGAGGAGTGATCAGGCTTAGTGCTTTTAAACTGCTTTAGGAGCCTATTACTGACTCGGGACGTAGTTAGCTGCTGTGCCAAATGCTCTTACTGGATGAGTATGCCGAGTTTTCAATCACTTCTTCCAAGTTTGGAATTCCCTGCACTAGCCCGGAGCTGGGTTGGTCCCCGTAGGATGCACGCCCTTGCTTTTGGGCACGGTGCTGATGTGTCGCTGAGCTGTTTCTGGGGGAACTGGTGGACAGAGGTGGTGGCTCCTGCACTGGGGTAGCTCAGGTGGTGTTATGGTGCCCGGCAGAGTTGGGGATTCGAGAGCAGATACCTCTGTGACACAGATAATCATCTTCTACCGAGTTGGGGTTGAAGAGGGGTAAGAATCAAGGTTGACATCCCTGCATGCCAGCTTTGTCCTTGCATCAGTGTTCTGGATTTGTAAATGACTTACCATGTGGAAGCACCCATACGTCCCAGAAGATGGAGAGTCCCATTCTCATGGCTTTTAAATAACCCTTTAAACCTCTGTTTTAGTTTGTGTTTGAAATACTATTGCAAGGCACAGGAGTGGAAGGATTTCTGTCTGGGGAGGGAAGGAGCTGCTCATGGCTGTCAGGTTGCAGCATTGACTTTTAGAGGTTGTGATCCGGTGCCCTGGCCAGAGTAGGGCCCTGCGGGGCTGCCCGGGAGCCCAGAGCAGCAGGGCGGTGGGATGCGGTGCGGGATGCGGCTGCCAGTAAATGTTGAGCAGCGCTGGCTGCTGGTGCCATCTGCTGGCATTTTCCACCCAAAACTTTGACTTTGGCTTTTGCTGCGAAAGCAGGAGGAGGCTGGAGCCAGCTCCCAAGTTCAGGTGTTGGGGCCTTTTCCCCTGGGGCACTGGGAAGCATACCCTGGATTTGGTGGCTCAAGCCCCACTGAGAAGAGGGTGCCTTTGAAAAAGCAGTCCAGTAGGTTGTGAAACGCAGATGTGGCATCCAGCAGCACGTGGGAGCTCTCGCCCTGTCCAGCACCTCCCCTGGGGCTGCCCACCGTGGTCCCTGCCTGCCAAGGGGCTTGCTGGACAACGGGCTTCAGCCACGGCAGATGTTCATGGGAAAGGTGCTGATGGGGCAGTGGCGTTTCAGGAAAGTTAATGCTACTGGTTTATGAGCAGTTTGAAGCTTCACTGGACACCCTAATGTCCTAAGAGAAGAGTGTTTATGTCGGGGAGATTTGGTGGTTTCTATTTCCTAACCTCCTCTTGCTGTCTACATCTGGAGGGTGATAGCGGCCACATGTGCAACTGCTGCAGCGAGGCGGGGAGAGGAGGAAACCATGGGAATTCTCTGCTGCTTTGTCTGTTGACCAATTAAATAACACACAGGCTAATCTGTCACTTAACTCCTGGCAAAGTGGCTTGATTGCATCATCTTTTCTGCTCTTCAGAACTGTTTGCTTAATACCTCAGCCTGCACACCATGGGCACACAACACAAATGCTGGTGGCAGGTCATGGGGAGAATGGGCTGTTTCACGGCTGTGTCACACACAAAATCAGGAGGAAGCTGCTGTTAAATGCAAGTGGGTATTTGCCAGCTGGGTTTTGCAGGGTGCGGGAGCAGCTGTCTGTCCAGCCCTGGCAGGACGCACAGTACAGTGTACCCTTCTCCCCGGAGGTCCGCTCTTGCTCCGGGCATGACGAGGGTCACCCTGGCGAGGACACCCCGTTGTCCGCAGCTGGGACAGAGAAATTTGCCTGCTGTTGAGCAATGACTCGATGGCGGTTTGTGCTGGGGGTGAGGCTCTTCGCCCAGCTGAGTTTACCGGTGCTGAGCTCAGAGGGATGGTGGGTCACCCAGCCCAACCTCCCCGTGGGCACTGCCGGCATCGGTGACCCTCGGGTTGCTCTATGCAAAGGGTCACTTGCAAACGTAGGGGATGGCAGCCTGGGGATACCCGTGTCCCTCACCCCACCTTCCGTGCCGCAGCTCTGCTCCGCCTCCATGGCAAGGTTATTTTTATGCACTGGGATTGGGGCATATCCCTATTTTTGCTCGCTTGGGCTTTACCCGCAAAGCAGAGGGGATTTGCTCTCTGCTGATCCACCGAAGTGACACGCTCGCTGGAGAGGTGTCTGTGCCACTTGGTTCGGCCCCGCGACGCTCCAGGCAGTCTCCCGTTGTGGTGCTTTCCAGAAAGCGGAGAATTGCCTTTTATTGTCAAGTATGCAACAGCTTTTCATCTTTCTCGCTTCTAACGCATACTTTTCTACACAGCGGTCAGGGAGGTGAGAACATGAGTCATTGAAACCATTTTTTTCAGCTGAAGAAAGAGCCTGTTCATGTGAATCAGGTTTATATTTAATCGCCGTGCCATCTGTCCAGCCCTGGACTGGGGTCTGAAGCTGAATTTGTTCTGCACGGACACGTTCCCGTTAGACCCAGATGCCATCTAGTCGCAAGGCCAAGTGCTCCCGGTCAGTAGTGACTTTGTCTTTAACCTCTTCAATCTCCCTGGCGCTTGCAGGCAGACAGCCAGGTGGACCTGGTTCGGCAGCATTTCTACGAAGTCTCCCTGGAGTATGTCTTCAAGGTGCAAGAGGTCCAGGAGAGGAAGATGTTTGAGTTTGTGGAACCTGTAAGTGAGCGCTCAAGTCACCTCAGCCTGCAAAAAATGGGGGGAGCCAGGCTGCAGCATGGGGCATCCCTGCAGTGGGATGGCTGGGGGGCTCCAGCCTCACCCCCCCTGCCCCTCCCTCAAAGGGAGATTTGGGGGGAGAAGGCACCCGTGTGAGCTCTGGGGTACGGAGCCATTAGCTCAGCGGCCATGTGCACGCTGGAAACATTTCATTTTTGATTCTGCAGACATCTCTGTCATCGTGGGCTGGACTGTGGAGCCTGCTGGCAATTAAAAGAAAGATTGGCTTGATTGGGGGAAAAAAAAATACAACTGTAAAGTTCACAAGGGAAAAAGAATGCAGGAGTGACAGAAATAGAAGAAAAGGGAGTTTTCTAAGATCTGCCTAAGTCCTTTAAAGCTCCTTTGGGAAGTGCCAGACCTCCCTGGCTCTCTGCAAAGGT